CCCGGGTGCGCCAGGTGGGGACCGCGGCACGCGGGAAGCAGCCAGGGGCACCGGCGGGCCCCCAGGGAGCTCTGCGAACACTTACGTCGGCTTGGGCCTGTCTTCCGAAGTACATGTCTGACGAGATGGCTTTGACGTTGCCGAACTTCTTCTGGGCCTCGTCGGTGCTCGCAGCGGCCTCGTAGTCTGGCTTGCGGCGAGCAGCGGGCCTGGGGGCGCGGCCGAACCGAGGCGGCGTCAGCAAGGCCGGGGCCCAGCTTCTGCCCGCCCACGGCGCGGGTCGCCCGTCCTGACATCCCCCACAGGTGAGGCTGCGCTTGTGGGCGCCCAGGGGGCGCTGTCGGGTCCCTGCACCCTGCCGGAGCAAATGCACCCACCCCCGGCCCCCTTCACCGCCCCCCAAGCATCCACCCCTCAGTCCCCCCACCCCTCCGAGGAGGCGGGGCTCACGGGAGGGGGGAGGAGCTGCCCAGTCACCCTTCCCCAGGGCGGGGCGGCTCAGTACCCCGATTCTCTTGGCCTGAAACCTCTCCCACAGGGGAGGGTGAGAAGTGGGGGCCTGGTGTCCCCAGGGCGGGAGACATTGGCCCGGGGGCGCACGGAGCACTGGGGTGATCTGTGCGGCTCAGGGGCTGGAGGGAGCCCCCGGCCGCGGCCACACCTGTCCGAGTGGCCCGTGGTCTTCAGAGCTGGGTCCCTGTCCTTGCTGGTCTCTTTTTTCCAGTAGGAGTCTGAACTGTCATCCCAGCTGGAGAAAGAACTGGCCCTGAACTCCACTGGCTCCTCAAAGTACCTGCGGAAAGGGCAGCGCGGTCACTCCGGAGGCCTGACCGACGGCCACGTGCGGACGGCGCGTCCAGCCCCTCCAAGGGCCGGGTTTCAGCTGGACAGTGAGGCTCTCCCCGCGGCAGGAGGCCGCCACGGAGGGGCCCCGGCTCAGCTCGGCAGGGCAGGGGCAGCGATCCTTGTCCAGGGCGGAGACCAGGGCAGCGAGGGCCCCCAGACGCGTGCTGGCCCGGGGCGAGCGCTGTGAGTGCGCGAGGGCCTCGTCTGTGAGAGGCGAAGCAACCCACTGGGGCGGACTCCGGGCCGGGCCGCGGGCGACGGGCGGACCAGCTCGGGGCCC